TGGTGCTGTTTAGATAAGATTTAGTATCATTGACCTGAATTGTGGTCTTTCTCTTCATGGTGACCACAGGCCTTAAATCAGCCTGATAGACCAGACCTTTTGATTGTGGAGAGACACATTTCAGGCTCCCCAAAGGTGGCTTTGATAGCTGGCATGCTACTTTCCAATAAAAATGTCCCATAAGCCTATGGAGCCCTGGGATGTAGATATGTGTGTGTATATGTGCATGTATGTATATATATAATATAACTGATGATGTCCAAGTGTTGTATTATTGACATGTAATGTCCCCTGTTGTCCCCCCTTTTTTTAATTTTTAATTTAATTTAATTTAATTTTATTTAATTTTATTTATTTTATTTATTTTATTTATTTTATTTATTTTATCTATTTTATTTATTTTATTTATTTATTTTTTCTTTTTCTGTTGATTGTGGGTGGGTGGGGTTTGGTTGTTAAAAGATAAAACAAATTCAATTCATGTTACTGTATTTTTATGTACCTTACTTTGTACTTTTTTGAATAAAAATATATATAAAAAAAATTTAAAAAATGTCCTATTTGGAACCCAACTACTTTTATAAACTGAACTAAAGTTCATCTATGTTTTTCTAGGATTCCTCAGGAGAAAAAACAAACAAACTGACCTTAATTCATGAGGAGGAAAGTCCCTCAAAATATATAGAAAATAAAATCAAGGTAATTAAAAAACAGTAAAACGAAAAGTTTATTGTCAAATGTACCCATCGATTTTAACATCAGCTGGAAACTGGACACTGACAAATAGGGTTTGGTCATATCTATAACTAGAAAATGGAATAAAATCAAAACATATATTAATCACGACAGCACAATGAGAGTTTATCTCATATTCAAACTGAAAAGCCCCATTCTTTGGATCTTTCGCCTTGGCCTGCTAGGTGAGATTGGCCCTGGGGGTAACAGGATAACAGTTAGAAGCAGGCATCCCATAATACCCAACGGAGCCCACATGCTCCTGCTGATAACTGGTTCTCTTAGGTCTGCTCCAGTTTCCCTAAAGGATTTGCCTTGCAAATGTGGGCTGATGCACCTGTTTCAACGCTCCCTCCCGTGGGGCACTTCTTACGTCATGAACAAGATCCCGTGTGTTGTGACCCCCCCAACCCAACCCACACCAGCCCAGACACATCCACGGCACCACCAAAACCCGAAAGACGGGTTTTTAATGGGGTGGGAGGCACACATTTCTCGTTTTTCCATTGTATCTCCATCGCCCCTTTAGGATATTTACATCTGGAACAGAGTGATCCAGAGGAGGCAGAGAGAAAAAAAAAGGCGGCTGCCACTTAACTGATCATCAATATTCAATATCAGTGAGAGCACTTTCAGCTTGTACTGAGCTTTTGTCACGCCATTTGTTGCTCATACCTTAAATCATGACACTTTACAAATGAAAGATATTGGGTACTGTATGTAAAAAAAACAACAAAAAAACATGGAACAGATTCTATACTATTTGTAAATTACTATTATGTTTTTATTCCACAATAAATAAATAAATAAAAATAAAAAAATAAAAAAAATCATGACACTTTGCCAAATAAAATCTTTGTAAAAGACCCCAAAAAAGAAAAAAAAGTGGGCCAGAAAAGTTTGCTGAACACAATATAAACAAAGGAGCTCAAACTATCCTTCAACCCGAATTGTAAATAAAACAAAAACACCACAAGTGAGCAAAGAAAAGCTGCTAGTTGAATTCCTGATCAACTTGAGTCACTTGTGCTTGAAACACACAGGTTTTTTTTTTTCTTGGAGAAGTTCGGGTCTTGTTTCTTGTGTACATTGAACGCGGCACTACCGTCTATTGTTGAAGGCTTTATCTAAGCCACGCCCCCCAGAGCCAGCGGCCGCTGTGATTGGCTGGATCCCTGCGCGCTGCCGTCATCGTGCGGAGCGCCCATTCATCTCCGCGCTGGGGCGTTGGACTCCGCATCTTATTAACAACGGGGGGAATTTCTCCATTTTGCAGCCCGTCTCCCACGAACCGGCCGCCGACCGGGACTTTCAGCACCTCTCCTCCGCTGCCAGCTCTCCGCCGCAGCCCCGAAAGCCGAACCCAGACCTCCACCGGACTTTAGTCCACCATTTCCCATTGAACTTTTTTCTTTGTTCAGAGTAGACAGAGCGGAGGGGGGGCCCCCGTGAGCCGAAAGCTCTGCTTTAAACAAAGAGGCTTGTTGGTCTTTGTTCGGTTTTTTTCGGGGCCGGTTGGGGTTCTTTGTTGGAGCCAGAAGCATGGGAGCGCACTTATCCAAGACGGCTGGGAGGGCTGAGATAGCCGCCGAGAAGCCCGGAGAGGCGGCCGCCTCCCCGGCCAAGAGCAACGGACAGGTAAAGCCGCCTTTGGGGCGCATCTGCTTCCATCCATCAGGGCGGAAAGTGAGCGGGGAGAGGGGGGGGGGACATCCACTCTGAGAGGAGGGTGGCCCGAACCAGGCCGAACCAATGTGGGGTAGATTTGGGTTTTCCCGAGCAACAGTTGCGAGCTCCATTGTGCAAATTGCTTCAATTAGGCAGCTGTGCGCGCGCGGATGCGTGCGGCGACACGAGCTCTGGTCCGCGGAGAGGCGCAGGGTGGCTTTAGAAAGTGATTTTTAAGGTGATATCGAAGCGACAGAGGGAGGATTTGTGTTTGTGGACTATCTGAAGCTTGATTGAGAAGATTTCAGCTCGGAATTGAAACGAGATGAGCTGAGCGCCGCACGCGCCATAGCCGTTAGACGGAGCGCGAGCTGTGGAGATGAAAGCCTGCCGTCACAGGTTGCGGGGCCGGTCCTTGTTTTTTTTCTGTCGGGGTGGTGGGTCAGAACCGTCCCTGGGGGTGGTGGAGGGGTGGGGGTTTAGGGGGGGGTTGTGATAGTTACTCCTGGCTGTTGCTGCCCCTGCTGTCCGCCGGCGGAAATGTCCGTAAGGGCGCGCGCGCTCCGTCTGGCCCTGACGAGTCTCTGTTCCTCTTGTTTGAATTTTCCAGGAGAACGGGCACGTGAAAGCGAACGGAGACGCCTCCCCCGCGGCCACCGAGAACGGCAAAGAGGAGCCGCAGGCCAACGGCACCGCCGCGGCCGAGGGGAGCCCCGAGGCCGGGCAGGGGGAGAAGGAGGCGGCCAACGGGGAGCCGGTAGAGGCTTCCCCGGCCCCGCCTGAGGCCGAGGCCGCGGACAAGCCCGAGGAGGCCGCGGCGCCCTCCGCCAGCACCGAGACGCCCAAGAAGAAGAAGAAGAAGTTCTCCTTCAAGAAGTCCTTCAAGCTGAGTGGAATTTCGTTCAAGAAGACCAAGAAGGAGACGGGCGACGGCGTGGAGGAGAAGGAGGAGGAGGAGGTGGCGGCTTCCACAGAGCAGGAAAAGGCAGAGGGCTCGGAGGAACCCGCGGCCCCCGGAGAGGAGGCCAAGCCCGGAGAGGTGGAGGCCAAGGAGGAGGTAGAGGCTAAGGAGGAGGTAGAGGCCAAGGAGGAGCAGGCAGCAGGGCCCCCGACATCTGAGAAGCCCCCGGAGGAGGTCGCAGTCAAAGAGGAGCCCAAGGTGGAGGAGAAGCTGGCTGCACCCTCAGAGGAGGCGCCCAAGAAAGAGGAGCCTTCACCGGAGGCCCCCGCATCCGTGGAGGCCCCGGTTTCCGTGGAGACCCCAGCTTCTGTAGAGGCCCCAGAATCCGTGGAGGCCCCGGTTTCTGTGGAGGCCCCGGCCGAGTGAGAGGTGGACGTGGAGGAAATGAGAGATAATCAACGGACTTTTCCATGTTTGTATGTGGAGTCATGTCAGCCGCTGGCTTTGAACTCGTCTACAAGCTGGGGATCTTTCGAAGCTTTCTCTTGTGTTTTTGATTTCTGGTTTCCATCCCCCCCCCCTTTTCACAAAACCCATCTCAGTCCTCCGAATGTGCCATTCCAGGACTGGGGGCGCCGGGTGGCTTTAACCCCATTTAATACGTTCACACTCTGCTGTGTGTTTTGACATCAGTATTTTTTATTATTTTTATACAAAATATAAAGAAAGTAGCATGGACGAGCCCGAGATATGCAGTGTTTTTGTGGGTAGGGGGCAGTTGGCAAATGTGCCGCCGACTCTTTTGGCAACAGAAAAACTGAGGCCAGTATCTGATTGGTTTACAGTCATTTTTACAAGACGAATCCCAGAGCTAGATTTTTAGAAAATCAGATTTCCAGCCGTCAGTAGCTTTACCAGTCGGTGATTCAGTAGAAGGGTACAGGTTGTATAGGCTATACTGTTTGTTTTTTTGGTTTTCTGACCTTAATAAAAATGTAAGTATGTATAGGCAGGGTGTTTTTTTAACTGTGACTATTGTATAAAAGGAATTCTTGATCTGGAGAAGCACATCATTTTGTAAAATACCACCAGAGGCAGACACACACGGACAGAAACCATAGTCCCACAGATCCTCCTCACTTCTGTTGACCTGGAAAAACAAGCTGTGATACCTGAGATAGGGAACCGTTTCTATACTGTTGTATGTTTTGTTCTGATCTCCAACAGCCATTTACCCCCCCCAGTGGTCCCAGATCCAACTGAACTTTATCAGATGCTAATTTTTGTGGCGCATCTCGTCTCTTTTTCATTCCCTCGTTTGTAAATACTGGAGAAGCTTTGATCAATTTGACGGAATCTCCAACGCCTCCAGAAACAGTGGCTTTTAAACTCCTATGCTCGACGTGTTCGGTTTTTTTCTGTGAGCGCACCGAAAGCGAAAAAAGTGAAATAAAGAAATGTGAATAACGTTTGAGCTCTTTACTGTTTTTTGTGTGGCACCGGTTCAGAGTCCTAACTCGGTTCCTGGGAAAAGCCTCCAGGCTTTGATAGGTCTGAACATTTACAGAGTCATGTGACAGCCGACCGTCTCACATCTTCCTTTTATGCTAGTACTCTAAAAGAGGACAGAGAGCATTTCTACCAAATCAGCTATTTGATTTGATTCAGAAGGCTCATATTTGTATAGAAATGTTTAGAAGAACATTGAAACAGTCTCTTTTGCCCTGATCTGTGAGGCTCCTCTGAGCACCTCCAGCCAGAACCCCAGCGGGTCCTCGTGCTCCCAGTGGGAGCGGCTAAAGGCTTTCCCTGGACCTGCTTTTAGGCGCAAAGAGCATGTGAAGAAATGGCAAAAGGGACGAGGTATGGAGACCCCGCTGGAACTGTCACAGCTTCCTGTTCTGTTGTCGTTTAGTCCCAAACATGGCTCCACCATAAGAGCTTCCAGAATGGGGAAGTTGAGGAACAGAACTCCAGGATGGTTTTTGTTCCCTCCACTGAGGCTCCATGTTCGTCTGATCGATCTGATGTGATTCAACTGACCCTGGTGGCTAATGTTAGAGCATGTGAAGGCCAGAAGAAAGCCCAGGTGTCAGAACGGGTCACAGCAAAAGTTCCGGTCCCGGCCTGGTTGAGTTCAGGGCACCACCAAGTGGCTGGAGCTTTCCATCACAGCTCTGAGGGGTTCAAACCAAACGCATAACTCATGGAAAGAGTATAAAAAGTTTTATTGGTAAATGCAAAATATCAAAATTCTTCTATGGATTCACTCACAATCTCCTATAACAAATCAGGTCATGTTTCCTTCAGAAGATTCAGCACATTGGAAACATTGGTTTAAAAAGATCAAAGGATGTAACGTAGAAAAAACTAATCAAGTAGCAGGTGCTGACAGGGCACAATTCACAGATTTACAGGTAGAAAATGGAGACTCATAATAAATAGAATAATGGGGAGAGCATCTCAGAGGAGGGCCGGATCCTTCCGGAAAACGGCATCTTCTGGCTGCCCGTGTGGCCTTCAGGCGCTGCTGCTCTGCTCCGTCTTTACAGTACTGGTGGAAACCAAAAGCAGTTAAGTGTTAAATGGTAGCCATCGTTAGGCTCCTCATACCCAGGGCAGGTTAGAGTTTAGAGTCATTTGGAGCAGGACCCAAGATGAGGGAGGAAAAGAGGGAAGAGGAGAGCGAGTAAAAGCGCATCATCAGACAGGACTGGTGGTCTAAAGCAGTGTTTTTCAACCCCTGGTCCTCGGTACACCAGTGTGCCGTGAGTGATGGTCAGGTGTGCCGTAGAAAATAATCCTATTTCACCTAATTGGTGTAAAAAGATTAATTTTCTGCAAATAATGTGCCATTTTTGAGTGTGTGTGCTGTTCTAGTGACTGGTGGAGTAATCATGTAATAATTCCTTATGATTTTGTATATAATTTTGTATATTGAAGTGGACATGTTAAGTGCAATTTGAAAGAAGAAATACAAAATATGATAAAAATACATTTTTGTGTTTATTTGATTCCTATTCAAGACACTTAAGATAAGATAAGAATAACTATAGTGTTACTATAGGCTACAGATTTGTTAAAAAAATTTTGTTGGTGGTGTGCCTCGTGATTATTTCAATGAAAAAATGTACCTTGGCTCAAAAAAGGTTGAAAAACACTTGTCTAAAGACACTCAGAAACAGAACTAACCTCTTTAAGTCCGTCTTCTCAGAGCTGCTGTCCTTCGTCTTTTCCTCTTCTTTTATTTCTGGGGTAGTAGGGGAAGAACAACCTTGTAAAATGAAATAGTTTCATCTCAAAGCCCTTCAGCTCGGATGCAGATCCAAAGTTACCGACCAGCTTTCTTCTCCTCCTCCTCCTTCTGCTCTTCTTCCACCTTTGGCCGTTTGGCCCCCTTCTTGTGACTGGCCGAGTTTCTGCGGCCTCCCTCCCCCTCGTCCTCAGAGTCGGAGAACTCCTCTTCACAGGAAATCCTCTTGTCCGTGGCGCGGACTGAAATCACAAAACAGTCTGGTGGTGATGGACATTCAGTGGTCCAAAAGGCCAGTTCTGTGGTTCTACATCAGGGACCGGACCCAGAGGTCCAGGAGGGTCCAGGAGAAGTTCAAAAGCAACATCTCACAGTTCTTCTCTGGTGATTATTATTATGAATTTATTTAATTTAATATTAAAAAAATAAAATAAAATCACTGTAATTATCTCAATTTTAGCTACTTTAAGTTTTTTTAGTTTAAATTTCCCCACTGGTGATGAATAAAGTTGTTCTTAATTGCATCTCATGTAAATGTTTTTCATGAGCATATATTTACTTTTTATTACTCATGGATGCCTTCTTATGAATTATCTAAATGTATTTTTATTATTTCAATGTGGGCATGAACAAAGTTTCTTTAAACTTTAAGGAAGCGAAACTCAATTCATCCCCCCCAAAAAAAATATATATATGTTGTTCAACGTATTTTTAAGCAATCATTTCTAGTTTTATTGTGAACAGGTTTTACTGTTGCAGCTAAAGAGATTTGAACCGGTTTGAACATAATCTTATGAAAACGAGCGGCCGTGTTCTCTGTGAATAGAAAAACAAAATGGTCAACATAGTCGGACTCAGAGGCTCCAGAGCTGCCCCCCTTTGTCCCCCCCCCCCCCTCTTTACAGAGGACAGAAACCGTGTTTTCTCTTATTCATCTCTGGAAAACCCAATGACCCATCAGGCAGCCGTAGATGACCGGACTCCAGACTGGACTGGAAGTCTTAGGCCTGCAGACTGAACCGAGGGTGGACGGTCCCCCGTGGTGGTCTCTTTGTTTGGTGTTCAACAGTCCAGGCAGCAGTTTTAAAAGCACTGACCGGTCAGGAAATACCTGAACCTTGGGGGGGTTCTTTAGGTAGTGATGGTAAGATGAAGCTTCATAAAACTGAAGCGTTCCACTTGTGTGTTGAAGCTTCAGGGGGCTTCATTTGCTTTGTTGCGCCATCTAGTGGTCAGTAAATATAAACGTACAGTGGGATTCTAATGGGACTCTGGCTTTGGGGTCTGAAACATTATTGAACTAATCAATGATGTTTGTGATGCTACTGTCCAGGGTGACCCCGCCTCTACCCCATTGGCTACTGGGATAGCTCCAGCCCCCCCGCAACCCCATTATGGGATCAGTGTTTACCTTAATGGACAGATGGATTTTTGTGATGCTTATACTTTAATTATAAACTTTTATATGGTGTCTGTAGATTGCATTTAATGTAATCTAAGTTGTTGTTCTTATTTCTTGTGTAATTTGTGTTGTAAAATTACGAGGTTAGATGAATATTTCTTTATGTTTGAACAAAGCGTTTTATTTTGAAGGGCTCTCGAGAGACCTCGGGACTGTCGAGGAACGTTGAAAAAACGTTGGAATAAAAACGGTCGATATATTAAAGTCTCAAAAAGGTTATTTAAAGGTATTAGCTCCTGGGTAAAAGGGCACAAGGTTTGTATTGTTTTTTGTATTATATTGTGTCCGGTTTTATTAAGTTTTATTAATGTTTTAAATAAGTAAAGTGTGTTTGCGGTATCGAGTGTTAATATTTTTCCGATTTATTTTTATTTAAGATAACACGGTAATTTGTCTGTAAAGTTTAAAAGACTGTGTATTGGAACGTAATTGTATTTTTGATTTTTCAATTTCTTTTAGCTCTTACGGTGAGTTCGTATGATACCGTTCGAATAAAAAGGATATGAACCATCAGTAAAAGAGTCCGAGCATCTATTAGCCGGGGACGCTACAGTGTCTGTCTTGAATAGATCGCTAACAAACTCGTAATTAAATCCCAAGTCCACAAAATGTGAGGGGGGGATTCATTGCATGTTGCTGGCCCTTTTGTTTCAAATAGACCGCCAAACCGTAAACCACTTCCTGAATCAGTCACCACATACGTAATCAACACCAGCCTCCACACGCGCCTCACAGCAATCATCCTGGTTTCTGGATACGTTTCGAAGCCTCGATAAGGAGGGACACTTCACTACCTAACGGTGTTCAAATAAGCACCTCACATTAACTAAATGCTTGCTGGGTAAACCAATGATCTCCTCTCCTACACCCGCCATGGCCATGGAAGATGGGCTGGTTTAGAGGGTGGACACTAACTAAATCAAGTAGGACTCTCTGCCAGTTGGAAGGTGGAGGTTTAACGCCTGGCTTCCCCGGGCCAGAGGGTAAAATGAGCCACACCCTGCCTACAGACGTACACCGGTCCGGTGCTGATTCTACAGCCTGACCCCCCCACCAGCAGACTGAAACCTGCAGGAGAGTATCGGGAAACGGGGGTTTTGGTTTGCGTGGTCTATTCCAACAGCAACAGTCGAGATAAGAGATGCAGATCAGAGCCGGAGGAGCTCAAAACTCTGGTTCCTGCCCTGTGTTCCTGCTCCTGTGAGGATGACACGTTTGCCGGTCAGTCTTACTGGACAGGCGCTTGTCGGGGTCCTCCGTGTCCTCGTCCAGCTTGTCGTCGGGGACGACGTCCTCTGGGATGGCCTGCATCTGGACCCCCGGGGCGTGGGGCAGCATCCGCAGGTTCTCAAACAGCCGCTGCCTGCCGGACCAGGTTAACACGGTTCATTACTGTTCTTACATGTGGAGGATTTCTCGTTCTGGTGTGGGCAGTTTTCAGTGTTTGGCTAAAAACTGTTTTTTAACTCATTGGCTGCCAAAGACGTCTATAGACGTCTTTTATGTTTTTCAATGCGAGTGGCTTTGGGGAACGATCTGCTAAAGTTTTTCCGTAAATATTGGCTTCCAGACAGAGTATGTAGTAACAAATTGACCCTCTAGGGGGCAGTGCCATTTTTGATAGGAGATGAGCATAGACTGTAGGCAAATAAAAACAAACGCAATGGTTCGCTATGAGAGAAATGTCGCCGGTGAGACGCACGTCGAAGAAGAACGGAATAAGGTAAAAACAAAATGTTTTTTCCCGATGAAAGAAGAGAGTCTACTCTTTCTTTTGGTGTGTTCGGTGTTTACATAGTCATAGCACAAACTATTCTGTGGCTTTTGAAAAATCAGTCAAAATGCTCAAAAAACTCTGGCAGTATGGGACTCTATTCTGAAAATGGCTGCCAGTCAATGAGTTAAAAAAGCCACAAAACTCGACTCTAAAACATGAAATTCTATTCATAGAATTGCCACCCAAACATGCATGAGGAGTTTGATTATCCCCATGACTTGAAATAGGTAAGCTAGCCTTTGACAGGATGGCCCCCTGGCAGACTGGACTCAGGGGAAGGGTCATGTCAACAACCACTTGCATGGTATCTGTGGGCTATCACCATGGTAACCAGAGGAGTCCCTGTGGGATGCCAGCAGTTGGAGAAGGAGGGAAATTCTGAAAGCGTGGCTTTCCCAGTTTAACCTGAAGCCATTGACAGGTAGTGAGTGGCTAAAAGGCTAAAAGTAGCTCTGGGAGCTACTGAAGCTAGAACTCAGGTTTAAGCCAAAGAGAAGAACTTTCAGTTGGCCTAAGGTCTTCTGGTTTGAAAACTTGGAAATAGGACATAGATGAAGACTTCAAGTAGCACTTTGAGGACCATTTTAATCCCGCTAGCATGTCCCCCATTGACAAGGCTAATGGGCATGGGGGAAAACTTGTTCATCACCTCTTTAGTGTACCAACAGGATCTGGGACCACTCGAGTGGTGGTTCTCTTTTTTAGAGAGAGCTTTTCAACTACAGTGGGGAATCCCACCACACCCGTTTATCAAAGGACATCTACTCCAGGGGTTTGGAGAGGAGGATTCAGGAGAAGAAGTTGGGTTTTCCCCAAGGTTGTGAACAATGGATCAGATCTTTACACTGGCAGACTTACTGAGAGGATGGTAGTCTGACCATTCAGTCTGTATCAGTTTTGTAGACTTTCAGGATTTGCAACCATGGCTGTCAATGGCTGTAGTTCTAACCCTCATTTATGGGCATGACATGAACCCGGCTACTTGTCTCAGCCTTAGAGACCATCTGAGGGAGCCCTAACGGGACTTTCCCACTAGCATCAACTTACGATGATGCAACTTGGATTTACGTCTTTATTTTGTTTTGGCTGGCGTTTCCAAACATGGACACTCTCAGCACCTTCTGGGCTTGGGTCCAAACGGGGCCAACAGCAGTAGTTGGCCAGTAAGTCATGACCGGATTAGTCATTAAGGCAAGTCTTTTATCCGAAGCTGTCCAGTATGGCAACAAAGGTCTTATTTCTTCTTTGTCGTCACCATTTTTTGCGTTTAAATAAAATATGTCAAGGGCCAGTCAGCCATCTTTCCGTTAGAACTTTGTGTGTGATGGAAAACTACCTAAACTGAGCCCTGTTGACACGAGTAGAACCAAGTATGGCCGATACTGCAGGTACTAATGGAACTGCTGCTTCTCTGCATCATGATTCATTTGGTTAGGAGGCTTTCTGGTCATCTTACAAGCATGTTTCATTAGGAGGAGGCCCAAGGGGCCACCCACAGGTCACTGTAGGGGTAATATCAGTTATAGTCCCACAGCACAGGGTCAGCACTCGCACTGGCCACTAGGGCAAAACTATTAAGGCAGAAGGTCTCCTGGTAAATCCAGTGAGTATGCTTACTTGATCTTGTCCAAGTATTCCTGTGTGTTCTGGTTGGTCATGTTGGACGGACTGATGTGCAGCTTGAAGTCAGGTCCGAAGTATTCAAAGTAGTCGTTATATGGCAGTTCTGAAACAGAAAGAAGTCGAGGGAGGATATTTATACTGTGAAAACAAGACTGACTTTTGTTAGGAATTATCTAAGGGCAGCTGAATTCAAAATTCATTATATAATTAATTAATCATCTGTACTGAAAAGCTGATGGTTTGGAATTCATTTATTCCAAAGTTATAGGAATTTCATCCACTCAACAGGTCAGAATGAGGAGAATTGATGCTGAATATCCCACATCCTATTATTTCATGCCCCTTTACTTCTTATAAACAAATTAGCTTGTGAACTAGGTGATATACTAATAAGGGTGGATTCCAGGTGAATCTGGTGCTTTATAATAGGGGTTTATACTCAGCTTTCAGAGCTCTGCTAACCATGACTGGGTTTAGGTAGTTTCCCATTAAAAATTAGATCTAACAGAAAGCCAGGCTGACTGGCCTGTGAAGTCATTTGTAGATGACAGAGATAGAGACGATAAAGGATATCATCACAGGAACTATTAAATCAGACGTTTGTTGTTAGAGGAGTCCCTTATAGAGTCATGTGACTTTCTAGCCAATCAGTGGCTGGCTATCTGCAGTTAGCAGTTTGGAACCCTAAGCTGGAACTGTTCGGAGTAGTGTTGTCAAAAGTATTGATACTAAAAAACGTATCCAGATACGATACTCATTTTCAAAAGTATCTATACCGCCCCCTGCCCCTCGCGATGCTGACCTGTTTACGCTGTGCCCCTTCTCTCTGATTTATTTATTTATCTACGTTGTTTATGATCATCAACGTGACGTTAGCCTTGAATTGCTAGCTGCGGCTAATGTCTAATAATAACACGCCAACATTAATGCGGGCCACCGGCCACCATAACATCAGTAACAGGTCATTTTGAAACAAAAGAAACTAACCTGTCGAAATTCAGTTACATTTCGGGGTCTTTCTTTTTATCTTTGTGGTATCGAAAATGGTATCAAGTATCGGATATTTTCCAGAATATCGGTATCCAGTTGAAAATTTTAGTATTGTGACAACCCCAGTTCGGAGGTACCAGAACCTAATACAAAAAGGTGTTGAGTAGTGTCGAGCTGAGATGAGTGGGTAGTAGCAGAAAGAAAGCTGACAGCAGGGACTAGATGAGGCCAGTGGGAGCTATCGCAAGGAGAAAACATTTGTGTAACACCAATCTTCCAACACTGAGGGTTCCCCACCTCCACCACCACAACACTACCTTCCTGACACCGTCTGCTCTTACTGGTCATTTCTACACAGTAATATCGTCTCCTACTAATCATTAAAAGCCCAAAACACGGAGCGGCAGACGAACCGTCTGGGATCTCTGTGTCCAGGGCCACGGCGGTCTCGTAGGTCCAGCAGCGGGCCACGTTCCGAATGGTGTACCCCCCCCCGCCGAGCATCAGCAGGGGCAGGTTGAAGGACTTCATGTACTCCACACATTTGGCGTGCCCTGGTAAAAGCACAAAGACGCTCAGGTACCCGGACGTGTCTGAGAGCCGTGGTTTCTGGAAGATAAGCTCACCTCGGATGGTGAGGTTAAAACAGCCCAGCCGGTCCCCTGAAAGAGAGTCCGAGCCACACTGGAGGACCACGGCGCTGGGCTGGTACATCTCCATCACCTTTGCCATCACCTGCAGGACGACAAAGGAAGGATGTGGAAAAAACAGAAAATACCGAGCACAAGCACCCGACATGAGGATCATTCTGGAAACTGACCGGAGTCCAGCTTGTTCTACGCATTGAAAAACAATATAAGATCATGATATAGCAAAATACCACCGTTTGTCAGTACCAAGGTTTTTAGAAAGCGTCTTAAACCAGCCATCTCAGCCCCAAAATATTTTAAAACCAGATAAATGCACATCAGCCTGGTTGCTCTGACTGTTGTGCCAGGAGTCACATGACCCTCCCCAACCTCAGTAATATTTCCTTTGGCTTTTAAACATGAGTGATGAGTAAAAAAAACTGCGTTCCGTGGAACATACTTGGACGGAAACCCTCTCCCCTTTCTCTCTGAGATCATCAATAGGGGAATCTACACGTTCCTTCATCCAAACCAGCCTTTTTTTATGGACTTTCAAAGAAGTCCATAAAATGACTGATTAATTACACCAAAAACAGAACTCATGCTCTTCAACACCAAGTTTCTGCAGTCTGTGGTTTTATTTTTTACTTTATTTTTTCACACTAATTGACTATATAAAACATTTGAAAAAAAAAGAAGCTGCCCAGTATGAGCAGCTGTGAGGTAGCGAGCTATCCAGATGTTTTGCAATAGTAGACATACCTTCTGAACTTTTCCATATTTTGTCACATTACAAATAGGAATATAAATACAATTCACTGTATGAATGATTGATTGATGAATAATCGAATGATGACTTATTGACTCAATAGAATCCACCTGTGTGCAATCTAATCTTAGTTCACATACTGCTGTTTTGTGATGGCCGCAGAGTCCGTTCAATACAATTTTGGGGTGCAAACAGCATTATAAAGTCCTTGGAACAAATAAGACGGGTCAGAAATGCCTGAGCTCACGTACTTACACCTGGCAAGCTCAAAGAGGACTTTTACAGGCCGAAGACACCGTCACACTTTGACCCCCGAGCCACAAATATAAGAACCATGAAAAATAAGATACCAACAAGAGCCCTGGGAGGGATTCAGGAACGTGTCGGTGCCTTTTATTAGGAAATCGAGCCAGAAATGTGCCAACGTGAGCAATTTTGAAACACGCTACTTTTCTGGGCGCCTCCATTTCAGGTTGATATTCAGCTGCCATAAGTAGTTCTGGTTCAAACTCACGGGCTTGAAGATCTGCTCGTAGGACTCATCATCTATGCCGTCCCTCAGTGGGAAGTTGACAGCGTAGTATTTGCCTTTTCCAGCTCCAATATCCTTAAAAACACCAAACACATGTGACTTAAGACATACAATTATGAGTACATGTAATGCATGTAGAAATGTATCATTTATTTTTATACCTTCCATAAATAAGAGAATAAGAAAATCATTGCACAGTTTTCTTAGAGATATAAAAAACAGTTTTAAATACAAACTAATGATGGAGGCTCACCCTGAGGTCTCCAGTTCCAGGGAAGTACTCCCCATATTTATGAAAGGACACCGTCATGACCCTGTCGGTGGTATAAAACGCCTCCTCCACTCCGTCTCCATGGTGGATATCTATGTCAATGTACAGTACCCTCTGATGGTACCTGGAAAAAGGGGGCCAACAGAGCTTCCATGAGCCCAAATAATGCAGGGCATTCACTCTGGTACAATCACTACAGAGAATAAGTATGTGTGTGTATACGGATATGAAGAGAGAGTAAAATACAGTGGAACGTTTTCTCACTTGAGAAG